GCAGATCTCCTCTGTGCTGGGCCGAGGTGGGGGATACACAGTTAGCCAGGTCGAGTCCCCGACAGTGCTCTCACTGGTCCTGAAATCATCCCGAAACCACCGAAAAGATCATTCAAATCCGTAACCGACTGAAAGCCTCACGTGATCGTCAAAAGAGTTACGCTTATAATCGTCGGAAACCGCTAGAATTCCAGGTTGGAGATCTTGTCCTGTTGAAAGTCTCGCCCTGGAAAGGCACTGTACGCTTTGGCAAGCGTGGGAAACTTAATCCGAGGTACATTGGACCCTTTGAGATCCTCTCCAGGATTGGTCCAGTTGCCTATAAACTTCTTTTACCTCACGAACTCAGTAACATTCATCCTGTCTTCCATGTTTCAAATCTCAAAAAGTGCCTATCCGATGAAACCCTAACCATTCCTTTAGACGAGATCGATATCAATGAAAACCTCAACTTTGTGGAGGAACCGATCTAAATCATGGATCGAGAAGTCAAACGTACAAAACAAAGTCGCATCCCGTTAGTGAAGGTTCGCTGGAATGCCAAGCGGGGACCAGAATTCACTTGGGAACGGGAAGACTCAATGAAACAGAAGTATCCACAACTCTTTTCTTATCCATGATTTGTATCTTGTCTTATGTTCTAAACTTGAATTTCGGGACGAAATTCCCCTTTAACGGGGGGATAATGTAACAACCCGAAATTTCCGCTTCATTTTAATGTAACTTTTTCATAAATCAACTCGCGCAACCGATCGTCGTTCCGATTTCCGATTTCCGATTTCTCCGTTTAATTAAGTCATTAATTAGTACACATTTAAAATGACTTAATGGGTGTCTTAATACATTTAGAAATCATTTTAACACTCAACTTTAGTGATCGGAATAATTCTAAAATTTACCGTATCGGGTTACGGTAACTCAATCGGGTACGACCAAAAACCCCGTCTAACGCCGGTATCGGGTAAAATTCCACCGTGTCCAAAACTTAAACACTATATAAACGTGTTTAGGACTTCATTTGAAGCCTTTGGTCAAATTATCACTAAACATTACCCACCTCTCTCCTAATCCAAGTTTAAGAGATCAAAACTCAAAATTAAGGCTTCTAATCTCTAAGGTACCTTCCTAGCCTTAATCTAACATATTTGGCATCCAAATTCGAGTTCAAATCATGAATAGGCCAACATTCATGAGTTTACGGCCATGGAACATTCATGGGCCGTAAACTCATATTTCAAGGGTTTTTAAGCCCTAAAACCCTTCCTTTGCATAGTTGGACACTAGATATGACTTAAGGGCTTAAGGGAAGAACTTATAACATGTAGAACATGGATTTAGAGGGACAAAAGTGAGTTTACGGCCAAGGAACATTCTTGGGCCGTAAACTCATATACAAGGGGTATTTAAGCCAATTAACCCTTCCAAAACCTAGTTGGGACTTAGACATGAACCATGGACTTGCTAATCTAGACTTGGAACACTTTAAACTTGATTTTTGAGTAATAAAGAAGAGTTTACGGCCAAGACATACTCTTGGGCCGTAAACTCCTCTAAAAGGGTGATTTAAGGCCTTTAAACATGTTCAAATGCTTCCAAACTCAATCTATGGCTTTGTGGTAAAATCTAGATGCATCTAAAAATGGTTTAAAGGATTGAAACACAACAAAAGTATGATTTATGAGAGTTTACGGCCTAGGAACATACCCTTGGCCGTAAACTCATAAAACAATGTTTAAGATGCATCAAACACACCCAAATGGCTTGTACAAATTTCTAGAATCACATGTGATTGTTTTAAACACCAAAAACTATCTTTTTCAATGATAAAAGAGAGTTTACGGCCTTAGAACATACCTCTAGGCCGTAAACTCCAACAAATGTCTTAATTGATGTTCTAAATTCATAACAATGCTTAGAAAATTAGTTTGAATCACATGTGATTGCCCTAAGTAGCTTAAATCAATTTTCTTAGCCATTGTGAGTTTACGGCCGTAAACTCTATGAGTGTGGCCGTAAACTCATGTTTTAAATGTTTTAAATCCATTTCAAGTGTTCCAAGGTGTTTAGATAATCATTCTAGCAATCCCTAAGTCCATTTGAGCCCTTAAAACACCAAAACCTCACCCACATGAGTTTACGGCCGTAAACTCATGTATGTGGGTGTTCCAATGTTGTAAACTCTTTAAAATGTTTACTTATGGGGAGTAAACTCAAGTCCCAAGTCCCTTGTGCATTACAAATCCAAAGATGTCACCCGGGTCACTCCAAACGCTCGTTTTGAGGTGTTTAACCTCATTGGAGTGTAATGTTCCATATGATTAGTGAATGTATCTCTAATTGTATATATATGGACATTATATCATTTTACATAGGGTCATCGCGAGTAATCAAACCCCGAACCGACGTATAGCATTCAAAACCGACACGTTTCCGAGTCCGGTGAGTTCATACCCCTACCCTTTTTCACTGTTTTCACTGTTTTCAGGGGGGAACACAAGCAAAGTACAAGGAATTCTTGTACTCATAACATGTTTTCAAATGTGTGTTTCATATTCTTATGCTTTTATAACTGATAACTACAACTGATAACAGATCGAACATACAGATCACGTAACATATATTTGTGAAATAAGTCTTTAAACTAGTATGTTTTACATGTATTTCACAAATGGTTTTCCACATTTTATCAGTTAAAAGCATGACATTAAAACATTTGAATATAATACCTGTACACTGTTTTGTCCTCGGTAACACTCCACGCACATACGCGAGTGGAGGACTTTCATATTATTACTAGTAAATTTGTTATTCCGGTACGATTGGAGACACGTCCTCGGAGAACACTCCACCTGGATTACGCGAGTGGAGGACTACACCCATAACCAGAATCTCTGGTATTTAGAGAGCGTGACTTGAGTGTATAGATCTATACGGGGCTGACTACCCCACACCTGGCTGCTAGCTACAGCCGAACCGAAATGGTTCAAGGGTGACGAAAGTCATAAGTATGTGGACGACTTATTGCCACATGTGGACTACTTATTGCCACAGGTTTCAGTCTATTGTATGGTTATGGAACTCGCAATTAGGATAAAGAGATTTACTTACAGTAATAATGGATTACTTTATACATCGTTTACATCTTTTACATCTTTTACTTACTGTAACTAACATTCAGGAAGGTACGGGACCTTCCTGGGGAAAACATGGAATCTAATCACGATTACATCTTTTACATCTTTCACATCGTTTACATAAGATACATATGCAGGAAAGCATGGGGCTTTCCTGGGTAACACTTACATAACTAGAAAGAGTCACAGAATGGATAACATTACATCTTTTACAATTAGTAACATACAATAAGGAAAGTATGGGACTTTCCTGGTAACACATGATAAGTAAACAGAACAGTTTAACCAGTCAGATAACCAACTATACATTTTCACATGAGTAAACATGTTTTCAGTGTACAAACTTACTATACTTTACATTTGTGAAACAATAACCAACTTTTAAGAAAATACGGGATTTTCTTGGTGTACATAACATTTCAGAAACAGAAAGGAAACCGATACATTTTCGTAAAACAAAACTGCTTATGAACTCACCAGCTTTATGCTGATTTTCAAACCGCTTGTGTTCTCAGGTCAGCGTTAGAACAGGTACCCGAAGATCCTTTTGCATGAAGACGGTGTACATGAAGACCCGTTACATTTTGTCTATGTATATTATGTATCACAACTGTACAAACTTTACTTTTGAAACAACTGTAAAACTGTTATTATGTAATGTAATGCTTGTTTTACTTTACTTACTATGTACATTGGATTTGATACTCAACACGGTAGTCAACCCCAAAAATGTATTCCGCCTTCGGTTTTCGGGGTGTGACAAAACCATGGAGTGTGCCCATGGCGAGTCAGTGAGAGAGAGTGTTGTGATATTACGGGAAGTCGTAGTGTTCACTAGTCTGCAAGAGAGGTGTTGTAATACTACGGGGAGCCATAGTGTTCACTAGTCAGCGAGAGAGTGTTGCGATACTTCGGGGATCCGTGTTATTCACTAGTCAGAGCATGACGCATAAGACTTTTTAGGCTTGGGTAGCCTTATTCTTTGAGTTTCGGGAACCTGGTGGTCGGACCAGGGGCAAGAATGGGGTCTCCATATTTGTTGGGGATCGTTATATTCTGAGTTAAGTTGTAGTTATCACAATCTAGAGGAATTGGAGGAGTGATGTACGCGTGGGTTGCGGGGTCATGGGTCATGAGTTGAGTGCTTCATTGGGACGAGTGGTTACAATTCTGTGTCGGACTAGAATCTCGAGTTTGAGTTTGGCTTT